GTTATATGAATGAATTTGGATCTGGGACTATAATGTAGACCCTTGGTACAGCAAAGCGTTCATCTGGAAGACCCGGAACATCCGAAAATGATCTAGATTTTTTAATTAACTAGTTGTGATGCTACATGAATGAATTTGCATTTTAAACAGAGGGGGGCAACACATCTAAATCTCAATTTTAGATACTCAAAAAATCTCACACTAACGAATCAATCTTCGAAAAATCTTCTTGCATTTCTCGCATCTACATGCATCGCGCATCATTTTTTTGCATGAAATCTTCAAAATCGTCATCAATCTTCTGTCTATCTACTCAGCGTGCGAGCAGCTAGCCACAGCACAACACAATCTTTACTGCAGCGTATATAGAGTTGTCCCCCTCGTTTAAAACCAGCATATACACTCTAGTAGCCACAGATATGCACGGTCCTCTAAAAGATCTGGAACATCCGTAAAGGTGGTCAATTTCGAGGGGGGCGACACATCTAAATCTCAAGTTTAGAAAATGTCAACAAATCTCACACTAGCGAATCAATCTTCGAACAATCTTCTTTCATTTGTCGCATCTACTTGCATCGTTCATCAATTTTTTGCAGGAAATCTTCAGAATCGTCATCAATCTTCTTGCTATCTAATCAGCGTGCCACAGCAAAACACAATCTTTTTTTCATCGTATATAGTGTTGACCAGCAGGTGCACTCTGCTGGCCACGAATCAGTCTTTTGGGAGGTCCGGACCATGTGATCAATTCGTAAAAAAAGATCTCTACTATTTTTTGAATTCACATATTCTAAAGCTACATGTATGAATTAGAATCTAGGACTACCATATGCAATCAGGTAGTGGAGTGGTTCTCTGGAAGAACTTGAACATCCACAAAAGTAATTAATTTTTATAAAAGATCCGCGAAAACAGACCCAAACGACAAAGATCACTCTCATTCACTTTAAACAACACATAATACATACTTAAATAAAAATATAAACAGTAACGAAATTACCGGATGAAACCCCTAATTGGAACTGCCTGAAAGATCTCTGAGCTTCCCTTAAGTTCTATAGACTGTTTCTAAGTATCTTTTTAATCTTTCCGCAATTTTACTGCAGTTAATTGAATTACCTTGAAGTTCCTTGATCTTCCTAGAGGTTCTCACAATTTTGAAGCTCACGGCCTTTCGTCAAAAATCTCTCATTCTGCCTGAACTTCTTTGGACTTCCATGAGGTTTTGCATCGTTCCTGGAGTTCACTAAGTTTTCTATTGTTCTGGAAGCTTCTAATCATATTCATAAAATTCCCTGAAGACCCCACATTGTTTCTTCATCGAACAAGCATTTGACGGTCAATTTAAAAGTATCGTAGTTGGTAGTACCAACATAGTCAATTCTCTTGCGTTTGACGTTTACACACTACTGCCATCTGTTCAGCGTACAACCCATCACAGTGTAATCAACAGATGGCGGTAATGTTTTAGCGACGATGTTTTGCAGTGTTTTATTAAATGTGTTATGTCTGTTTGTCTGTGCGTGAGCTACTACACGGTAAGAAAAAAGTACCCAACGGCCAGTTCACTTTTACCTACTTTTGACTAGTTTGTCTCCTTTTCTCCTTCTAATGTTGTCAAAAACGGAGGAGCAAAACTACCCAACAAGGGTAGTAAAGTGTGGGAACCCAACGTTGAGTATAATCATATTTACCTACTGTTGGGTACAACTAACTTCCTTTTGGTTAAAAAGCCAGTGGAAAATTCCATACGAACTGCACACAATTAAATGAAAATTACTTTGACCCGCTTTACCTACTTTTGGGTTCCTGCACTATAGTGCCGAGATGAGTTAAAAGAACTTAATTTTGGGTACTTTTTTCTAACCGTGTAGGTGAATGAAGTAACCGAGAGTTAAAAGTAGAACGAACTGCTAGCTTGACACCACACTGGCAAAAAATGACAAAACCGCGACTAAATTGAATATCTTGGCTGCCAAACGGGTGTTATACATATACTCAAAGGAAAAACTCTCCTGAATCGATTGGTGGTGGTCTCATTGGCCGGAGACTTTTGCGTACCGAGATAGAGGGCCGGGATCAACTCGAGTTCCCGGTAATGTAGGAAATGCCACTATCTATCGGCATAATTTTAGACTTTACTGAACGTATATTACTGGAAATTGATAGTACTAATTATATATGGTGTGAAGACACCATATACGCCCTCAGGAAAACTCTACTGGCCTAAAGGAGGATCCGGAACGACCGATAAAGTGGCCACATTATAAAAATTATGCTAGAACCTTGCGATTTTTTCTATGATGTTCAGAATCAAGAGATCAAAGCGTATTTAACTTGGAATACATATTTTGGAATATGGTGGCCATATCCTGGTTCACCGGATAATCTGGATTGACCGATAAAGTGGCCACATTATAAAAAATGTCCTAGAACCTTGCAATTTTTTCTATGTTGTTCAGAATCAAGAGATCAAAGTGTATTTAATATGAAAACTATATTTTGGGGAGTAGTGGCCATATTCTGGCTCTCCGGATAATCTGGATTGACCGATAAAGTGACCACGTTATAAAACATGTCCTACATGCTTGCGGTTTATTCTATATTGTTCAGAATCAAGAGATCAAAGCGTATTTAACTTGGAATACATATTTTTGAATATAGTGGCCATATCCTGATTCTCCGGATAATTATGATTGACCAATGAAGTAGTCACATTATAAAAATTGTTCTAGAACCTTTCGATTTTTTCTATGTTTGTTAAGAATCATGAGATCAAAGGAATTTAATAAAGAATTTAAATTTTGGGGTAAAGCGGCCATATCCTCCGGAAAATCTGGATTGACCGTAGAAGTTGTCATAACGTGTAAACAGTCCTGCAAATCTACGATCTTTTTTTTTTTAAACCGTTTGGCAGTCGTTTGGCAGTCGAGATATGCAATTTAGTCGCGGTTTTTTCAATTTTTGCCCACTGTGCACCTCCGGAAGATTTGGGGCTAGTAGCTCGGGAAGGATCAGTGCGATAGACCGTAAAATCCGAACTCAATATTTGCTTAGAAAGTGTGTTCCTGTTCAACCAAGTTTCGGTGAAGGTGTACACGAATTGAAATTCCGTTTTCATTTGGTAGTGGTAATTTCCTGATAACTGTTGAGAAATACACAACAAAAATCAGGTTGCTGCGAGTTTTGAAAATCAACTCAAAAATCTGCCGTGAGCAAGAGCTGTCTTGCCCCTTGGAAGGTCCCGGAATTTTAATAAAGTTCCCTGTAATAAGTTTCATTCATTGCATCGTAGTTTCTCAAACATGTACAAGTTTCCCATTCCTTTATTTCTTTATTAATCTCTTTAATAAAGAAATGAAAAAAAAAAAAAAAAAATTCCTACGAAGTTTCCCAGATTTTATTCTAAGCTCTTCGCATGTATATTAGATTATTTGCATTTCTTCGATTGCTCTTGAACATCTCCAAAGTCACTAAAGTTTTATGAAAGTCAATAAAGTTCAAGAAAAATGCATGAACTTCAATGAACTTCCCCAAATTTCTATAAAATTTTATAAAGTATGGTGTAGCTCTACACAATTTTCTGCATTTCTACGAAGTTCATTGAAGTTTTACAAGGTTTATATGAAATTCGCTGAGCTTTTGAAAAGCTACCGGTTCTTCTATATAATTTGTTGCACTTATAGAAAGTTACCAGAAGTTCAACGCAGTTCCTGAAGTTCTTAGAAGTTTTCTATAAAGTTTCTGAAGATGTATGAAGTTCCTTGATATTTTATTACATCTTTTAATAATGTATGAAGTTCACGAACCCTCTAGCACAGACAAACAGACGTAACACTCCGTTGTGTATCTTCGTTCACGCATTTAACGGTTGATTTGAATATTATCAGTTCCGCGAACTACTCGCCGCAGCGCTGGCATCGGATCACTTTGACGTTTCTGTACACTCTATAAAACTTTTATGCAATATTGTTTGCGAGTTAGCGAGCAAGCTTGTTTTCCGCGAGAAGCCTTAGAGATGTCATTACTGAGGTCCTATGTTTTGAGATACTATGTTTTCAAGAAAAACATTTTCAAAGAGTTACGTCTGTTTGTCTGTGCCTCTAGGGAGTTAGAAGAAGCCGCAAGAAGCTCTCGATCGGGTGGCAGTAGGTTGTTGTTGTTGCTGTTGTTTCTGCTTTGATTTTGGTGCTGGTAGTAGTAGTACTAGTGGTTGTTGTTGTTACGGATGCTGTTGTAGCTATTGTTGTAGCCTAAATTATGACGTGCCATATTCTGCTTTCTCCGTTTTTTAGCCTTGTCAGCCAATTTTTGCTGACTCAAGCGGGGCAATACACGAGCGTCTTAGTCCGTCCAATCTGGTATCCATACCTTCCGGGTACCAAAAAGTATCCACCCGGGGACCAAAAATTCCCATTCTGGACCACTGTGCAGTTTTATATCATACAATTGACCTGGTCGTGGCACAGTTGGGCTGATGTGTTTTCACTACTTGGATGTGATTTATCTTATCGCCTTAACACTTCAGACGTTGGAGTTAGAATTAATGAGTTTATTTGCAAGTAGAGCCAATGGAGAAAGCCTCTATAATAAAGCACCTAACCTATTTGCAAGTAGATATATCAGCTAACCTGACTGGAAATATGCTGACAAGGAATCATTTTTAGTAGAACACATTTACGGTGGGACTGCCTGCTATGCCAAAATACTCAATAGTGATTTAATAGCTGTGGTTTGACCGGCCGAGCTAAGTGAAGCATTCACAGTTAGGGGCTGTTCATAAACTACGTAGACACCTTTGGGGAGATGTCTACGCAAAGGGAGGAGGGGTTTGAATCACTTGAAATTGGTTACGTAGTGTATGAAATAAATAACTTTGAATAAGAAGAAGAATCTAATCGAAAGGTTAATGTTTCAATTGGTTCATCAGGTACAACAAATTCATCAGCTTTACCACGAAAGCACTAATGCCCAACTCATTTTCATTTCTTTATTCACAGATTTTCCCACCCACGCTCTGAACGATGTCAACGTTCGATTGGGACGGTCCTGTCAGCATAGTAGCGTACGTCGTCTCAGGGATAGCGATATTCCTGTCTCTATTCAAGTATTACCTATACATCACCTGTGGAAAAATCACATCCAGTGTAAGTGTTAATTACTGGCCGTGCACCTGTTGGGGGATCCTGGGTGCTCGGCGTTAATTAAACTTCGGGATTAATTTATTCGTTCTCGTGTGCGGATTTTTTCCCCGCAGAGAAACATGGAAGGCAAAACCGTCATCGTAACCGGAGCCAACTCCGGTATCGGCAAGGAAACTGCGCGGGATCTGGCCAAACGGGGAGCTCGCGTCATTATGGCTTGCCGCAACATGAAAACTGCTCAGCAAGCTCGTGGTATGTGAATTTTATTTAACTAGATTGGTGGTAGTGGTCGGTGGTGATGGCTTCTAGAGAGTTGTTTATTTTTAATATTCTGGATTAGTATAATGACCACGCCGCTATTGGTTTTCCATTCCATTTGATCGAGCTCTAACGCATTTAGGATTTTTTTCGACTCAAAATTTATATTTCATCCATTGTAAAAAGACACCCCATGAGAATTTCAGCTACATAAATTCGCACAAATTGGAAAAAAAACCAGAACCTTGTACAGCGCACCAGATGGCACCAGAGATTGATTTAATCCCATACAAACAAATCCTTCGCCTCTTGCCCTTACGTTTTATGTTTCTGCAGATGAGATCGCGAAGGAAAGCGGAAACGAAAACGTTTTCGTCAAGAAGTTGGATCTGAGCTCACAGGTGTCGATCCGTGAGTTTGCCGCTGACGTTCACAAGACGGAATCCAAACTGGACGTACTGATCCACAATGCCGGATTTGCCGACACTTTCAGGAAGACAAAGAGTATCGATGGAATCGAGTTCACCATGGCCACCAACCATTATGGTCCATTCCTGTTGACGCACTTGCTCATCGATTTGCTGAAACGGTCGACTCCGAGCCGTATCGTGGTTGTAGCATCCGAACTGTATCGCTTTGCTTCGGTAGATTTGAACAACCTGAATCCGGTCAACAGCCTGCCCGCTTATCTGTACTACGTCTCAAAGTCAGCCAATATCATGTTCACTCGGGAGTTGGCTCGCCGTCTGGAAGGAAGCAACATAACTGCCAACTGTCTTCACCCGGGCATGATCGATTCCGGCATTTGGCGCAATGTGCCCTTCCCGTTGACTATTCCGATGGCTGTCATCAAGGTTTTCTTCAAGACCAACGAGGAAGGTGCTCAGACGAGCCTTCATCTGGCCTGCTCAGCGGAAGTAGAGGGCGTCAGTGGAAAGTACTTCCGAGACTGCAAAGAAGCGGATCTGACTGCCGGAATCAGCGATATGGAGAAGGCCAAGAAACTGTGGGAGGAATCGGCCAAGATAGTAAAGCTGACGGATAAGGACCCGAAGATCTAGGTTATCAACTCATGAGACTGCGGTAGTTTTGTCATGCTTACCAATAAAAATAAAAGATTTGCTTCTCCTAGTTAGTTCGGATTCCTTTGTTTGGGGTAGAATGTGGTAGCCTACCATATCACACGTTCATTTCATTTATCACAATCACCGTCCGAATCAGAATCAGAAAACGTCTACATTTTGCTTAATTAGCTATCACACCTCTTCACTCTTGTGCAAGTCTGATTTTGGTTTACATGCTCTAATTTTTGGTGGAACAAAACTGCCTTTTAGTGAAGCAATCTTGTTTCAAAAACTGGCTTATGAGCGCCAAGTTGTTCTGAACGCTTTTTACATAGTTTGCCTTGAACTGAGTGCTGGATTATAGTGACGTAAGTAGACTGCTTTAGGTCTTCAATCTTAGGCTATAGAGATTTTCACGTTCCGTTCAATTGGTATTTGAAAGATGTTAGTGAAAATCCGAGGAAAGTACACAACAAATTGCTGTCAAACTCATTTTTCCAGATCAAATTTCATATATTGTTTATGTTAGTTAGGGGCCAACAATAAACAACTGCACTCTGCGATGAACCCGCTAGTGTGCGTGTGTTAAACGTCACTAATCTCTATAGGACGAATGCCAATTTCTCAACATTGCAATGAGAAAAAAATGACGGAAAATACATTTTATTATACAGTATTATAAGAAGCAGCTGTCATCCACTGTACGAGTTACATCGATTTTGTGAACAAAATTACATCCATTGATGTAATATTGTATCTGATGTTTGCTATTACATCATTATTTCATACATCAGCTTGAATTACATTGATCGATATTAATTTTTTGCTGTGTGGAACCAGTGCGAAACCGAACTTTTGGTCAGCGTAAACCTCAATCTGAGCTAGGTTTTAAAAATAAACGAGCAAACTGACGTTTGTCAGAAAACAAGCAGACTCAATCTTGATACCCGATTCAGGTTGGAACCAGGGCTGGCAAATGTCATTTTCAACGAAAGATCTCACGCGATATTTACAGAGATACTTCTGTCACTATCATTGGATGAGAAAACGATGATAGAGATTTTCTTCAAAATCTCATCGAATTTTTTGTCATGACAGAACGTGACAGTGTTGTAATCATCGTAATTACTAGTTCATTTAATGCTATTAAAGTTACTTGTACCGAGGAAATCTTAATAATACATTCACTCTACCGATTACATACGGTTGTTTGCTGAAATTCACCTAAATCAGTTAGAAATGTTTTTTTTTTTTTTATTGGGTATCAAGCTGGAGCTGTGTGACAGCTTAGTTTTCAAGACTTGACCCATTTGAATAAATTTTGCTTCAATCTTTGACAATACAGCAGAAGGACTAGCCTATGTTGGCCGCTTGAACACTGGATTCCGTATGTATTGTTTCAAGATAGTTATAGAAAAAATGCTGTGACGTGTGCGCGTAGATACATCCGCGTAGTAAACCGATTGCATAAGTAAATCCGTTTCGAACGAAATATCTAAATTATGTAAGTTACGAAAACCGCGCGAATTCCGAAAGCCGTGCGAGACAACCGAAGCGAGAAAAAAGGCTTATTATCATTTAAAGATTGCCACCAAAATAAATGTGATAGCCTATGTTGGCAAGTTGATTAATTTTGGTTTCCTCCCTAGATATTCTACTTATTTACTACTGAGCTTTGTATCAAATTAGTTAATTTAAAGAACGTATCAATTATTACAAGATTTCACGACCGCACCGAACAAATTCTATACTACAGAAGCTCAAAAGCGTTTGACAAGCTCTACCGAATTGCGTATCACTTCTGCGTAAGCTCCGTAGACGTAGACGCGTTGAATCCGACAGTCGGCAAAGGTTTAACCTGTATCAACACCGCTTAAGGAACGACCTCGAGTCAGTAAAACCGTTTAGAGCTAAACATCTAAATTACGTAAGACACGAAAATCGCGCAAATTGTGAACGCAACGCGAAACAACCGTAGAGAAAAAATAGCTTATTATCACTTAAAGAGTGCCACCAAAATAAATTTGATAGCCTATGTTGGCAAGTTGATTAATTTTGGTTTCCTCCCTAAATATTCTACTTATTTTACTGTTGAGCTTTGTTTCAATTTAGTTATTTTACCGCACGTATCAATCATTTCAAGATTTCGCGACCGTACCGAACAAATTCTATACTACAGAAGCTCACAAAAAACTTTTGGTGAGCTCTACCGCATTGCGAATCACTTCTGCGTAAGCTCCGTAGACGCGTTGATTCCAACAGCCGCGAAAAGTTAAACATGCATCAATACCACATAAGGAAAGATCGATTTTACGTATGGTTTAGTTCATAGATTAACATTGACTGCTGTTTAAAAATGTAAGTACTTGAACACTAAGAAATAAGTTAACTCAAATGCTTTAACCGCATATATAAGAGATTTCACGTATTGAGAGAATAATATAGTAATCGAGTACAACAAACTCAGGGGAATACAATACCTCCAAAAGTTTAAAAGCTATTAATTGTCACATGCCTCTACTTTTACTTATTTCTTAAACTATTCCTCTCCTTGTTAATCTGCTTAATGCTATTGGTCTGCCTGCGTATTCTTTTTAAAGTTCAAGACTAAATAAGAAGATTTATTCTACAACTTTAAAGGTTAGTTGCCTCCCTAAGCGGACCCCCCGCATCCTAATTCTTTTGTTAATCTACTTAATGTTATTAGAGTTTCTGAATTTTCATATTTAAGTTCGCTCGATGATGATATCTCATTATTCTAATTTAATAAATTATTGTTATCTCTAAATCACCTAATCAATCATAACCCATGCTTTATTTAGTACCTGCACTTGTGCTTGTAATCTAAAATTAAACGTGTTACAAGTACTTTTGATTTAAGCCTATACCTATTTATTATATCTTAGTTCGACCCAGGTAACACCTTCATGTTTTAGTCAGCTTTATTTCATTTTGAAGTAAGTTTCCTAGCTGATTTTTATATTATATAGGGTATATGCTCCAACTATGTTCACACGCTTCCACTATGTCGCACCACAAAAATACGTATGGGTATGTCACAATAGAAGCACGCCACAGTGGAAATCTCGAGCCATAGTTCAAACACTTATCCCAAATCAAAATGAAGCACATATAAGATTAGTTACAATACCATGTACAAAAATGATGTTTAACATTGTTTCCTGAGTAATACTTCAATGAAAACAACAATGAAAGCTTGTTACGCAAATAGAAGGAGCACCGTTGGGCACTTTCTGAAATATTTCAATAGTATAATTCCCTTGCAAACCCAAATAAATCTATCTGCGTAAACATAAATAAAATAAGAGTGATTTGCGGCAAAACCCGCCAGTATCACACCCAACGTCAGTGCCTATACGTAAGTGTACTACGACGCGGCTCTCAATTAAAGGAGTAACAAGTGTGATACTATCACTGCTAGACAGATCTTTGGTTCTCTCATGTAGTGGTTCATCAGAGAGGGGAAGCTTAGAAATCCCCATTGCCTGCCCACGACGCCATTCTATTGCGGCATGAGCCAGCAACGCCGACCATAAACCTACCGTCTCCCACACTCCACTATAAAGCATGAAATTAAGCCCGCCCACCAACAGCAAGGTGCAAAAACTAGCCAAGGGGAGGGACCTAAATCAGTTAGAAATGTTGATGTCAAAACCGAATAAGAATTATTCTCATGAGTGCTTGATCATTGAAAAATGACAAGAAAGCTAATGATAGGTAGTTTCGTCTCGTGATAGTGAGAGGGCCTGTTTTCTCTTCGTCGCATGACGGTCGTGATATTTACCAGCTCTGGTTGGAACTGAAAAATAAACGAATTTGCTTTAAGGCATCTTGATGTCATTTGTGACAACTGTCCAACTTCCTTGAATTCTTTTTATTTAATATTGAGTATAGCCTCTCACTTGCACT